ATCCCTGCAGCCTGAAACAGCTGATGATCGGGAGGTCCATGCTGAAACTGAAAGTGAATCTCCTTTTAAATAGCAGAGAATAACTATACTTCCATAAATTTTAACAGCATCTGTACAAGTATAGTCTGAAATGTAACACTAAAAAGTGCATATTGTCTGTACTGTTTGCTGTTTGTTGCAAGGAGGCAAATTGCTGGGAGGCAGATTTTTTTCCCTTGTTTTCCTCCCCCAAAAGCTAGGCGTGTATTATATTTCGGAGCACCTTATACTCTGAAAAATACGGTATGTGATTGCACTAACCCCATGTCTTGTTGTCCTTGCAGTATGCCATTGTCTTCCGTACTCCGCCTTATCACAAGACAAAAATAGATCGTCCAGTCACTGTGTTCCTTCAGCTGAAGCGCAAGCGAGGGGGTGATGTGAGTGACTCCAAGCAGTTTACATACTACCCAGTGGTAGAAGGTACAGGGCACTCCATGCGATGTGCTACTTTTGGTGTTTTAACAGGGTGGCAGGGCATGTCATTGATGATTCTTCTGTATCTTTGGCTGCAGATAAGGAGGAAGTAGAAAGGAAGCGTAAGAAGTTCCTACCGCAGTTCCCCCAGCACTTCGGTGGTGGTGCGCCTATGGGTGGTGCTGGTGGCGGAGCCGGTGGATTTGGTTCTAATGGAGGTAAACGTTAACACTTCATAGGACTTGGTGGGTTTTAATTTTTTTAATAGTCTGCTGCAATTTAACTTGAAATCAAAGGCTTTTTATTGTCGCTGTGCAAAACACACATGATGTTCAAACTGTTTTGCACTGGAAACACTCTTTTTAACCTTAAATCTTTACAAAAGTGTTTGTCATGGTTCCAAGTAAGACCCCCAACGAAATAAGACTCCGAGGCTTGAGATTCCTCAAAGTTCCATTTTATTAGATATTGGCACATCTGGGAAAACTCAAATCTGAAAGCTTCCAGGTTTCCCCCACCCAACTGAAAGTTCAAGTCCCTGCCCAGCACCTGCATGTCCATCACATGGCCCAATCAGGCACCATCCAAGACTGGAGATGCCTCCCAGTCACCTCATCGCAGCTGCGGGGCCAGGAGTCCTTGACTCTCTGAGAAAGGAATGTTATTTTGACTTATATCTCCCATACTCCATATAATCCCCCCCTACCCAGTTTCCCAAGCATTATATATGGCAATTCAAAAGAAGATGGCTTCCAGGCCTGACAGGGTTCTCATACTATTCTGCATTTCTGGGGGTTCTAAACTTGTGAGATTGGAACAACCTTGAAATGTCCCGTTGAATGAACTTGACATTTTTTTTTGCACACCTCTACTTTCAATGTCAAAGTCCCCCTGTGGTGATGAACCTATGGCACATGTGCCCCAAGTGGCCTGCAAAGTTATGTCATCCGGCACATGTGGCCTTGCCTGTTTCTCTTCTGGGTTTCTGGTGCGCTGTCCATTGGGTGCGTGACAATGCAGAAAACCCGTGTGCACATGTGTGCCAGCCAGCTGATTGTCGGGTGCATCAGAACCTGGGAGTTTGGCTTCCACAGCGGGATCCCTTCGCCGGTGCGGCAGTGCTGAAAACCGGCCTGCGCATGTGTGCCAGCCAGCTGATCGTTGGGCACGCATGTGCGCTGGAACTTGGAAGCTTGGTTTTTCCGGAGCGCGGCCCCAATGAGTTCGTGCACATGATGTTTCTGGGCGACCTTTTTGGCACTCGGTGCCAAAAAGGTTCACCATCACTGAACTATCCAGTTGCTTCTGGTATGTTACAATATTGAATAATTATCTTTAAAATACAAATACCAAGTGTCTAATTTTGATTGTTGAATGGGGAAAGCGTGATTTTTGAGATAGCTTCTCAGATCATCCACTTCCTTTTGAATAGTTTGTTAGTAAGAACATTGGATGTCAGATATTTTGCTGAAGTCAACTTGTTAATTTGTTTAGAAACTAACTTGCATTTCTACTCCATTCTACTGCCGATAGCTCAGAGTAAATATTGTATTTTTTTTAATTTGCACTATTTTCACAATCTATTAGGACAATTATCTGATCAAGAAAATGAAATAATGGCAATTTCTTAAGAAATCCGTAATTATGTTTGATCTTTATTAACATCATGATTTGCCCTAGAAAATTTTCAGGTAATATCAGAATAATAGAAGTATAGTAGCCAGATTTTTATCTTTTACCCCTTTTTGAACATTGGGACACTATTTCCATTCCTCGGTAGTCTTTTTCCATATCAAAGATTAGCTATCCTGTCCTACTTTACTTCCACTTCGGTATGCATTGCATCCTCTTCTTTAAATCATTTAATAAACATATTTGTTGCTGCATCTACCGAAGGAAAAGGTTTATGAGCACATGTTGAGGACGAAATACGTAACGTTTTGCAGATCTTAGTGTTGTCTTAAGCTTATTGTTTCCTTGCAGACATTTCATTACCCAAATTACTCCCTGTTTGATAGAGAATGTCTTGTCCTGCCGATGATGCTGGGGGGGTCTGGTTTTCTCTTTGATAATTCCTTATTTACCATATTTTTCAGAGTATAAGATGCTCTGAAGTATAAGACTCACCTAGCTTTTGGGGAGGAAAGCAAGGGGGGAAATCTGTTTCTGCCTCCCAGCAATTTGCCTCCTTGCAGCAAACAGTACAGACAATATACACAGTTTGTGATGTTACATTTCAGACTATACTTGTACAAATGCTGTTAAAATTGATGCGGCTTTCTGGAAATATACATTATTCTCTGCTATTTAAAAGAAGATACAATGGCACTGGGCCTCTTCAAATCAACTATTTATTTTAAAAAGTTTTTTTTTCATTTTGTTGTCTAGAACAATGATAAAGCAGTCTTTAAAAAATAAGTCTAATAATTTGAACATTCTATGGGCATTTATAGTTATTGACTTGGTTTGGTTTGGTTTGGTTTTATTGGACTTCTATGCCGCCCTTCTCCCAAAGGACTCAGGGCGGCGTACAACAAAAAACACATATGACAAAAGTTAAAAAAGATTAAATAAGAAATCCAATAACCTTCAATTGACAATTTAAATCAAATTTAGGATTAAATTAAAATTAACAATTTAAAATTTATTTATTTATTCTATTCAGGCCAGGCTGGCTGGCTTGCTGAAAAAGCCAACCTGTTAGGGCACACCGGAAGGACCAGAGGTCGGGGATTATGCGAAGCTCCAGGGATAGCTCATTCCAAAGGGAAGGCACTCCCACAGAGAAGGCTCTCCCCCTGGGGGTCGCCAGCCGACACTGCCTGGCCGACGGCACCCTGAGGAGTCCACCTCTGT